TAGTATAGTTCTGACAAGAGTCTTATATGTTCCCAACTTTAGTGTTAACCTTTTGTCTGTGAGTAAGCTTTTGTCAGAAACACCATTGAATCTCATTTTCTGTGAAAATAAATGCTTTCTACAGGACAAAAATTTGAAGGAGAGGATTGACACTGCTAATCTGATCAAGGGGATGTACATACTTCATTCTAATAAGGCTGAGTCCACAAATAACCACTCCCATGCCATACACAATGTTTCTTCTAGCATTTGACATCACAGATTAGGCCATGCTTCTGATCTCGAGCTTCAATCTATCAAAGATGTTTTGAATATTTCTGTCCTTGATAATAAAGATTGTAATGTTTGCCCTATGGCTTAACAACATATATTGTCTTTCCCTAGAAGTAGTATCAAATCTGTAAAACCATTTGACCTAATTCATGTGATGTTTGGGGTCCATTTTCTATTCCTACTTATGATGGTTTTCAATATTTTCTTACCATTGTTGATGACTTCTCAAGGGTTATTTGGTGTGTCTAATGAAATATAAATCTGAAACCAAACAACACCTTATATCATTTCATAAACTTGTCTTAACTCAGTACTCTACTCACATTAAAATCATAAGATCTGATAATGGAACTGAGTTCCATATTCCAGAATCCTACTCTACTGAGGGAATCATACATCAAACAACCTGTTCCTACACTCCACAGCAGAATGGAGTAACTGAAAGAAAACATCAAACTCTTTTAAACATATCCAGAGCCCTGAGATTTCAATCCAACGTGCCCTTGTTCTTCTGGGGAAACTGTATACTCACAGCTGCCCACATTGTCAATAGATTACCTACCCTTGTTTTGAAAAACAAATCTCCATTTGAAGTGTTTCACAATCAGATGCCTGATTATTCTGTTCTCAAATCTTTTGGATGCCTTTGTTATGCTTCCAATCTCATTGGACACAAAACAAAATTTTAGTCAAGAGCTAGAAAATGCATCTTTATTGGATACCCACCCCATACCAAAGGATACAAGTTGTATGATCTTGATACCTGCCAAACTTTCATATCCAGGGATGTTATTTTCCATGAAAATACATTCCCATTTACTCACTCTTCACCTAACACCAATGATACAGTTTTTCCTTCTCCAATCCCAGAAAGTTCAATTCCTGAACCCATTCCTCAGAATACAGAAAACACCCATTCCTGTCATTCCAGTTTCATCACAAGATCACAACCAATCCATCTCTCTCAGATCTTCCAGACCAAGAAAAATGCCATCCCACCTTAAGGACTACGTATGTACAGTCACTAACACTGGCAATGCGGTTGCTTCATCCTCCTCCATCAAGTCCAAATCAGGTAAAGTTCTTCATCCCTTAAATAATTACATCACTTTCAAACGTTTTTCTCCTTCACATCATAGTTTATGTGCTGCCATATCATATATCATCGAACCTACATCCTATACTCAAGCTTCCTTGGACCAAAATTGGAGAAAGGCTATGCAAGATGAGATTACTGCTCTTGAGTCCAATGGTACCTGGTTGATTACTGATCTACCTCCAGGGAAAATCCCTATCAAGTGTAAATGGGTTTATAAGGTGAAATATCATGCAGATGGTACAATAGAAAGGTACAGGGCCAGACTTGTTGCTAAAGGATTCACCCAAATTGAAGGCCTAGATTTCCTTGACACCTTTTCTCCTGTTGCCAAATTCTCAACTGTCAGAGTACTTCTTGCTTTAGTTGCTTCAAAAGGTTGGTTCTTGGAGTAATTAGATGTTCACAATGTTTTCCTTCATGGAGACTTAGAAGAAGAAGTTTACATGCATATTCCTCCAGGATTTGAGCAAAAACAAAAGAACAAAGTCTGCAGGTTACTCAAAAGTCTATATGGTCTAAAACAGGCTAGCAGACAATGGTTCTCAAAACTATCTACTGCATTAAAAGGCTATGGTTTTGTTTAGTCACATATGGACTATTCTTTATTCACACTCCATACAGCTCATTTCACCTTAATATTGTTAGTATATGTTGATGACATCCTGATTGCAAGTTCTAATATGGAGCAAATCACCAAAATCAAACAATTCCTCAACAACAAGTTTAAGATCAAGGATTTGGGTCCTGTGAAGTTCTTCTTAGGCTTGGAAGTGGCTCGTTCATCTGTTGGCATTTACTTATGTCAAAGAAAATACACTACAGATCTTCTACAGCAATATGGATACCAGGATTGTAACCCTACATCATTTCCAATGGATAGCAAGCTTCGGTTAAGTAGTCAAGATGAGCATTACTTAGATGATCCTACTTCATACAGATCTTTGATTGGAAAGCTGCTTTACTTAACCACAACCATGTCAGATATAAGCTTTGTTGTTAATACTCTAGCACATAGAGTTCTTAGATACCTCAAGGGATCTATAGGACAAGGTCTTTTATATTCTTCCAAATCTGATTTGCAGCTAAAAGGATTCTCAGATTCAGATTGGGCAAGTTGTGTTGACATTAGGAGATCCATCACAGGTTATTGCATGTTTCTAGGAGACACTCTCATCTTTTGGAAATCCAAGAAACAACACACAGTTTCTAGGAGCTCAACAGAAGCAGAATATAGAGCCTTAGCCACTTCAGTTGCAGGAATTCTTGGCATACTACAGCTCTTCAAGGGCTTCAAGATCCCAGTACCCAAAGCAACATTATTTTCTGATAGTAAATCTGCTTTAGCCTTAGCTGCAAATCCTATCTACCATGAAAGAATCAAACATGTGGAAATTGATTGCCATTTCATCCGAGATTGGATCCAGTCTGGAGTAATACACACACTCTTTGTTCCTACTCATCATCAAATTGCAGACATCTTAACAAAACCACTTGGCCGTGCTGTTTTCCATTTTTTGTTATCCAAGATGAGCGTACAAAATCTGTACTCTCCTCTTGAGGGGGGGGGGGGGGTCTTGGCATATTAAACACAACTCATGGCACGTGGACTCACACACTGGAAGAATGCCATGCAACGTTGAAAATGAAGCAGCATGCACACGTGTGAGAAATGACCTCGCATACAGGAGCAAAGAAACAAGGAAAGATCTAGAAGATTATAGCTACTTTAATCAGTTAGAAATTTGTTAGATACAATAGATTATTTATACTTTCTTGTTATTCCATTTTTAGTTAGTCAACTTGTATATATACGAACAAAAGTACTCTATATCCGGATAACAAGAAATAATGAAAGCCAGCTTTCTTCTTTTCGTTTCTTGTATGAACTTCTCTTCGTTCTGGCATATGATTTTCTACAGTCTTAATTCCAACTTTTACAATTTGAATTATTAAAATTCATTAATTTCATATTCATATTTTATAAATGGTATTACTGTTAAAAATTATAATTGAACACATAGTTTAGTGACGATATTTAGTGGCAGAGTACGCATCACAAAGAACTGTGGCAGACATCCCCGAGATTAAATTCCTCTTTTAATTTGCATCGGATGATTTTTTTCACCACAAAGTAGTTTGATGTCAATATTTGGGGTGGGGTTTCTGACACTCATATGTTGCTAAGCTTTTTCTGGCAGATCTGTTGACGGATATTCTGATTTGCGACTAATATGCGCCAATTCTTATAGTGAAAGCACATACGGAGTACATAATAAAATGAGAGTTTCACTAATAATTTATACTTGGTATATCAAATTGTAGTAATTTTAAGTTTGTTTTTTACAATTCACCGAAACTTTTCACAACGTTTCGATCGAATATATGGATTTTTAATATCAAAATCAAAAGTAGAACATATATTGTTGAGTTAGTTAAGTGAGTGTGTATGCGAAGTTGGTTCATAAATAATCGCAACATGTTTATTTTTGCACTTTTGAGAATTTGAGGTTCATGTTTATTCCCAAAAGGTAACACTACATTTTGTTCATATGGAGATTTATTATATGCATAAAATGTTACATACCCTCGGTTAGATTCATCGTTTAGAACTTCAAGAAGATTGTCTATGCCATTATAGCGTATGCCAGTCACAATTCCCTCTGGATTTGATATCGTCAATTGAACTATACCATTATCGATCATTACCTGCACAAAATTAAATAAGTAATAATTGATTAAAGATGAATTAACAATGATCAAAATAATTAATCTGATCCTACAATACTAATAAAACCAAGTGTAATTAAGCTGAAGTAAATGGAAGTGATTTTTTCATTAGTTACGTACATGGCGATCTTGTTTGTACAGCCGCACTCCTATAGCTTGCCCTACCATCTTAATTATTCTAATTCTACCCTCTGAATATATATTTCTTCGACTTTAATTATTTTCCTTCCACAGTTTTTCTAGCCTAGCAAAACTAACATTTGTGCTTTAAATATATAGATGCTATGGTGAAAGTTCTTTTTAGGAGGGGATATATATACCTCACAATATATATACAATACAAAGACTGTTACATTTTGAAAGTTACGTTAATGGGCTAATGGTTTCCTTCAAGAAAAGGAAGTTATTATTAAGTAATAGTTCTATGGCTTTGTCTTTACTAACGGATAATATACAGTTGCTTCCATTTAATGCATATAGTATTGAAGTTTGGTGTCATGGATGTGTATGTTATCTTAAAAGTAAAGCGGAAGAAACCAATCTTATAAAAATGTTATTGTTTCAACGCGGATTGGGCGGGCCTTAGATACATGGGCTAGTGAGGGCTCAGGCCGCAGTTGAAGAAAATTAGATTAGATCAGACTAAATCAGACTAAGAAGGTTTTTATTTGGATTATTTTCAGTCTCAGACCGAATTGGACTAGGCCTAATCAGAAATATCGAGGGGAGGATGGCCGTGAGGGCAGGAGTGGGCTCCAGCCCAGCCCAGCCCAATTTTTATATTTTAATTAGTATAGGTATAGATTTTATTATCGGCCCACCCCAAAATTTATTTCCAGCCCAGCCCAAAGTTTATTTCCAGTCCCAGCCCACAGCCCAAAGCCAGAATCTTCAACTTACCTGCGCAGCACAGCTCCTTGCGAATCGGCAGAACGCGAAAGAGAGATATTACTACTAGAAGATAGACGAAGGCACCAGCGAGCTCTGCTACGAAGAGCGAACACCACGCGCCGCGTTCCGTCGTCCACGCCGCGCTTCCATCCATCCAGGGGGCTGCGTCGTCGGCCACTCGGCCGTCCTTCCTCTCTGGGCTCTGCCTCCAGCTCTGGCGAAGGTGAGTCTTCAGATTTTTACTCTCTTATTTTGTGAGATTTTGTTAACTTGTATATTAGAGAATGGTTTGATTATTAATTAAAATTTTTACTCTCTAGCCGTCCTTCCGTTAGTTAATTGAAATTTTTACTCTCTGGCCGTCCTTGGGTTAGATTGGTTTGATTATTAATTGAAATTTTCAATGCATAATAAAATAGGTCTAATGGGGCAGAAATTTATTATAAACTTATAATGATTAAATATAAAATTAAATCTTAGAGAATGATTTATTGAAGATTAGAGAATGATTTGATAATTGTGTGGTCATGTAAGAAAAAATCGAAGAATTCAATTGAATTTTGAAATTGGGAATACATATTAGTTTTATGTACAATGATTGTTTTTTTCTTATTAGTTTTATAATTTTATACGGAATATTTTTATAGAAGTATTTTGATTCATATCAATATTGAAAATGTTTTTTAGAATGGATAATGAACATATTGACATTAAAATGTTGATAGTAATGTGATGATCAAAGTTCGGCCAATATCGATCAAAGTTCAACCAATGTCAACACCACTCCTATCAATACTGAAATTCGATAATGAAAAAAATCGATATCTGCATTTCGCATAATCTGATATTCGCATCTTCCTTCTACTTCGCCTGGCTACCCACCACTCCTACCGGCCTGGCGCCTTCCCCCTGCCTCCCTGCAACAGTCCACGGTCCATCGCGCCGCCGCACAGTGTCCGTGGCCTGAATATTTTGATTTCTTCATTCACCGACCAGGCGACCACCGCTTGGGTACTTCGGCATTCTTCGCCTCCGGCCCTCACTCAGGCACTCAGCCAGAGCCAGGTAAAAAGAAACAAGTTCACAATTTTCAATCCCATGGTACTTTGAATCTTTGATTATTATTTTATTAAATATTTTATTGGTTAATTGTTACTTGTGAGAATGTTACTGATTTTAATTTTTAGCCGTTTAGCTTTTGTTAGTTGTGTCCCTTGTGTTTAGTGCAGGGAGTTACAACAGACGGCATTAGAGTTTACTGCCTAGTGCCTTATAGTTTATTTGCTAATTTGCATTAATACAGACATAGTAATTTCATTTTTTGAAAAAAATCGCAATTTCATTTTGTGATTTTTGAGTGAGTTTTTAATTTTATTTTTAGCATTAATCCCATGTTCCCATCAGTACGAATATGATAGTGAGTATTAATATGGGTGTGAATATTAATCCCGTTATTTAGTATTAATTCATAAGCTTGTTTTAGCATTAATCAGTTTAATCCCATTGCTCTTAATTTAATTGTGGGGACCTTTTCAGTATTGTGCAACTTATACATTGAGAAAAATTATGAATTTGTGATTTATTTTTGGATTTGACTTGGATGAAAACTCCTTTTATTGTAAAATATTACTCCGTATTTTTTATTTAATTTTTCAGTGCAATTGAATTTATTATTTTATACATGTGAACCCCCCCTACTGGACAGAAATGCTAGATTCTCCAGTGTGTATATATATTAGAGATTATTGTAGCTTACTATTACTGCTATTACCATTACTACTGCTACTGTTACAGTATTACTAATGTCTGTATGTTGATCAAAGTGCATAACTGCATATCATATGATTCGTTGAGCAAGCATCACCTCCAGTAATGTCTCCTTTGTTTCCAGATATTATTTGTAAAAGATTATGTCTTTGCGTAGGCCACCCCTTCCACGGCTTCTCCTTAACAATGTAGGTTGCATGAGAAATGCACAACAAATTCTTCGTCATGTTAACGTCACACTCCATGACGGTGGGGCTCTTGTACTGACGGGCACAAATGGTTCTGGAAAAACCACCTTTCTGCGCATGTTAGGTGGTTTCGCAAAACCATCTGCTGGTGAAATACTATGGAATGGTCATGACATCACCAATTCGGGTATCTTTGAGCAATACAAACTCCAGCTCAACTGGCTTTCCCTGAAGGTGTGCTTTGATCACTGAAAATGATAATGAAAGGAAAAAACTAAGTAGATTAGTCGGGTTATATTTTATGATGGTTTAAACTTGTAGGAAAATGCAAGGAAAACTGATAGTTTGATAGCAAAAAATTGTTATTCTGCTTGTCAACAGGATAAGTGGGCATTTGACTTATTTATCAGCTTTACCAAATAGGCCCTGAAGATCGAATATGATTAGATATTTTTATATTTATTTTGTTTGTTTTGCATATACTTAGATTTCATTATCTTTAATTAGTAATTACTAGACATAAATAAAGAAAATGAGTTTCAATGAACTCTAAAATAATACAGAATATTTTTAGCCTATAATTTCACCCCCTCTTCATCCCCCCACAATTTCCTTTCCTTCCAATTTTCGTCCGTTCTAATTTCTTCCCTGGTATTTTCCGGTTTCCAATGACCCTCAAGGATGCCGTGAAGGAGAAGTTCACGGTCCTAGACAACGTTCAGTGGTTTGAAGTGCTTGAAGGGAAGCAGGGAAAGTCTTTGCCGGCTTTAGAGGCTGTGGGGTTGGGGAGATTGGCAAATGAGAAGTCAAGAATGCTCTCCATGGGTCAAAGGAAAAGGTTACAGCTTGCTAGGTTGTTGGCAATTGATAGGCCGATTTGGTTGCTTGATGAGCCTTCGGTGGCATTGGATGATGATGGTGTGAAGATACTGGAGTCCATCATAGCCGATCACAGAAAGAAGGGTGGGATTGTCATTGTAGCCACCCATCTACCCATTAAGATTGAGGACGCTATGCATTTGAGGTTGCCTCCCAGGTTCCCGCGAAGAATGACGTTGGTTGACATGCTCGATCGTGGTGGATTGGACTGATTATACTCGTGTAGCTGTGGGAGCTGTTATGGAAAGGAAGCTATGCAACTTATGTTTGAGACGCCAGACTGACTGACTGACTATATTCCATCCGAGTATCCGACCATACTGAAGGCTATGAAAACCTTGGTTTTTCCATTATTTTATTGCACAGATGTATAAGGTGGTAAGAAAATTGCTTCCAGGAAGTCAGTGATGACTTGTGGGGAGGAAAAAATATTTTGTGTTCGAAAATACTTTATTGTAAATTTAGTACTTTTATTATCGTCACTCCAAACTCGTGCATATGAAAGTACTAGTATGTGTACCCGTGCACCGCACGGAAAAATATGTTCTAGTGTTTGTTATGAAAAATATGAATGAAATTAAATTTTAAAAAATAGAAGTGATACTGAATCACATGTGAACTCATAAACTGTGCAATTCAATGAGTTATATTGAGTCGCTAAGAAGGAATTTAGAAATCATTAGGATTATTGTTGAAAAATAGAATTGAGTAGAGAATATTATCCAAAATAGGACTAAAAAGGTTTGAAAATTTCAAAACAGAACTATCAAATTTTTATTCCCAAAATAGGACTAATTACTGTCATGTTTTGGCAGTATCAGATTTCAAACATGGCAGTATTTTCCAAACTTGACAGTAATTACTCTTATTTTGGGAATAAAAACATAACAGTCCTATTTTGGAATTTTGAAACTGTTTTAGTCCGATTTCGGGAACTTTCCCAGTAGAGAATATAGTTGCATCAAGGATGCGTGGAAGCTAGACAAATGAATCTTAACTTAGGAGAGAGATATTAATAAAACTTGGACAAAAGAATGAATCGACCTTTACATCCATGTTAATGTGGTAGACCTTGTGATCAAGAAGCTGTTATGCATGTCCAAACTTTATTATTTATTTTTATTTTATTCAGACCATATCAGAAGATTAGATCAGACGATACAAATCAAATTAAATCAGATAAAAAATATCCACATCAGGCATGAAATTTTCAAATCAAATGGATATGATATATTACTTTTATTATTATTATTATTATTATTATTATTATTATTATTATTATTATTATTAAATACTACTTCCGTCCCCTTTTTATTATCCCTTTACGGTTTACGATGTTTGACCGATGATAAAGAAAACAGATCCCTGTCCGCACTCAAATTATTTTTAGGGGAAAAATTACATATTTAGAAACTACATTAAAAGTTTTACAAAGTCGCAAAAACCTGAATCAAATTTGATAAAAAAATTTATATATAAAGTAAGAAATTAAGAGTGATTTGTGTTGACCAAGTGAATAGGAACTGGGACAATATAAAGGGGACGAAGGGAGTAATTAATAATATCAACATTATCATTGTCATCATTATTAGGAGGTGACATGATCTGGTCCAATTGGTTACATTATGTTTTATATGTATTTTAGTACGTATGGTTTTCAAACCCTTTCATATGCAAAATTTGGACTCATCCAAAAGTCTTTCAAACTTATAAATCAACATCTTCTTAATTGTTGTATGAATCTTGATTCCCTAGAATAAGCAATATAGTTACAATAAAAAAGCAATATAATTACAATAACGGGAATAACTTACTTGATAAAAATAATAATTGTAATGATTAATTAATAAAGTAAATCAATGTGCTTAGTAAATTGGGATTGAAATAGTTTTACCGGTTGATGATTTATTAAAAACATGCCTAGAGAAAATGTAATTTTTGAAGAAAATTTTAACTAAAACATTTCGGGAAGTTTTAATCTAATTAAATGTGTCTATTTAGGTGCTATAGGAGATAAGTAGGTGGGCAAAATAACCTGTAAAGCGAGTGCAATAAGAAGTGGGATAAATGCCTTAAAAGGAAATATGATGACATAAGTAATTGATGTATTATAAGGGGGCATCGTTTGCTTATGAGAGGAAAAGATCTTGTCCAGCCTTCTGGGCAGGATCCTTCGACCGACCGACCGCAGTTTGGGAAGATTATCGGTGGAATTTTTTATGAATTTTTTAGATGAAGTGTAGATTATGTCCACGAAATTTCAGCTCGGGAAGTCAGTTAAATAAATTATTGAAAAAAACCGCTTTTATGTATATAGTTTGGCACAATTTGTTTCAATAATTTAATTAACTGATTTCTCGATTAAATATAAAAGCGGTTTTTTTCAATAATACATTTAATTGATTTCCCGATTAAATATAAGTTGATATTTTGTGGATACAATCTAAACTTCATGAAGAACAATAGAACATGTTCAAAAACTTCAACCAGAAACCGACCCCAATGACGTCGGTCGGATAGAAGGTCATGTCCATCCGACTGGACAAAACCATAACTGTAATACGAAGTATATATATGTGGAGTTTGTTTGGAAGGTGAATGCATTTTTCTTGATCATTTTAAATGCTTATAATTGATGCATGTAACGTGTGTTAAGAAGCTCAAAAGGTTTGCTTTGAGCTTCATAATGATATTGTATTAATATGGAGCTGCCACTTGGCGAATTTTTGCATGAAGAGAATGCCACATGTCAAAATTTTCTCTAAAGCATTCCACAAAGGTTTGCTTTATTATATTATATAGATTTATGTACTATTCACGCTGGTTAGCCAATCTCAGCATTGATCTCTATTTTTATGAATCAAATTTGGTCAAATTTAGTTTCAGTTTTTGTTATTCAATTGAGCTGTTAGGATGTTTTTACTTAGATTGTAATTTGTCCGAGACCAGATCAGTCCAGACCAGACTTGGATAGTTATAAAAATACAAAGAAACCAGACCAGTTCAGACTAGACCAGACCAAACCAGCAAATTACAGTCCAAGTAAAAACATCCTTAAAATAGTTGTTAATGTAGAGCCCGTTTGGTAGCACGAAAATCGGCTGTTTTGGCTGATTTTGCTGAAATTTATGAAGTTTTGGCTGAAGTGGCTGCATTGGCTGATTCTGCTGATTTAAGAAAAAAATATTTTAAAAATATATTTTATTAATAAAATAAAGAAAAAATTATATGTAAAAATAGCTAATATAGTCATTTATAGTAAGTTCAGTCAATACAACCAGAAAAGTAACTTCAACCTTACTTTTTCTGTTTATTACACAATTCAGAGCGCGAAAGCAAAAGTTACGTGTTTAGTGAAAAATTGGCTAATAAGTGTGATAAACCAAAAACTGGGTTGTGAAAGAGGCTACCGTTTCTAGTTACGTAAATTGTTGGAGACTTTGAGTTATACGGATTACGGAGTACTTTTTACTATTTGAAACGATACTTCAATTTGTTATGCACTGTACACTTTTTTTTTAATTATATTTTTTTAACCCCAGGGGGCATCCGGGGAGGAGGTTTGGGGGCCTGGGGTAAATTGGGATCAATCTCACTCCATTGAGAATTGAACCCGGGACCTCCCATAAGGGAGAGTGAGTCGGCGACCAACTGGGCTGGACCGCTTCCTCATGCATTGTACACTTTTTATCCTATTTATAGTCTATTTTACCTCTTTTTATATTACTAGATTCTTACCCGTGCGATGCACGGGACAAAACTTAATAAAATAACGTACTACCTCCGTCCCATAATGGTTGTCCACTTTCAATTTGGCATGGTTATTAATAAAGTGGTTGAAAAGTAAAAGTTGTGGTTGAGATTTGAGTATAATTAAGTAAAATGATAAAAACCACATATTTCTTGCCAAAAACGGAAACAAGACATTTATTTTGGGACAACTCAAAAAGGAAAGTAGGACAACCAAAATGGGACGGATGGAGTAATATTTTCTACATCAACAACGAATAACAACATCAAATATCGATAAACGTATAATGTATAAAAGAGATTAAGAGAACATAGGTATATAATAAATAGTTTTAAAAGAGTGTGTGATATCGTATGTATAATGATATCATATTCTTCATTGTATTAACAGTAAATCTCATTAAATGCAATGTGTAAATGTATAAATATACCCAAATAAACTGTATTGGTTGATTTAATTACAATTTATGCAGTTCTGGTTGAAGTGGCTAGAATGACTCATTATGCTGATTTATGAAAGAAATTATATTTAAAATATATTTCTAAATTAAATAAAGAAAAAACTATATGAAAATAGCTAAAATGATTTTCCACAGCAAATTCAGTCAATACAACCCGAAAAAGTAACTCAAATCTTACATTTTCTTATTACGGAGTGTTAGACAACTCAGTGTGCGAATCAAGTGTTACATGTTTGATGAAAAATTGACTGATAAGTCTCATAACAAAAAAATATGATTCTCCTAAAATTTATAAATTTTTTTATTCAAGTGACTAAATTGGTTGAGTCTATAGAATTTTGGAAAATAATATATTATAATATCTTTTATTATAAAATATTAATAGCTAAACTGATCCAAATTATGTGTGTGTGTGTGTTTGTATATTGTGTTGTTTCGGTGAGAACACTCTTTAACATGATAAATGAGAACGGTCTAAAACGATTCCCTTTATCGTTCACGGAGTGACGAAAATGCACATTTATACTTGAAGTAACGCAAAATTCAAATGTACATAATTATGCACATTTTAAATGTGCATAATTATAAATAAGTAGGTTTTTAATTAGGACAAATTGATAGTAATAATCCCAACTATTGGCGGTCCGCTCATAATAATCCCAACTATTGATTATTATAGAATAATCACAACTTTAGGGACCTTCCGCCAATAATGGTCCCTATGAATAAATTCTTGTAGTTTCTAAAGTGGATGGGGTGAGATATAACAAGTAATCCCTCTAAATAATCTCAACTTTTAATTTTTACGCTTAATTTCTATTTAAAATTCACTTTTTATAGAGGTAATATATGGTCATGGACCATTATTGGCGGATAGTCTATATAGTTGGGATTATACAAAAATAATCAATAGTTGGGATTATTTTCAGCGGACCGGCAATAGTTGGGATTATTATTTTCAATTTTTCCTTTTAATTAATGACATTATTTGACTATATTATATCATTTATACATACGAAACGTAATTTATTATTATCAATGCATAATTTTTACTAATTTAATATACAAAGGATTTACACAAAATGATGTTAATTGATAAATTTTTCAAAAAGAATCAGGACCATTTTAATCCTTGTACAATACATACACATTTTTATTTCAGCCCAACATGCAATAGACAAAACCCTCCGCCCTTTGCAATTCTAAAACCCCAGCCCAACATACACATTAGTAATTTATTGCTCCGTATTACATAACAACCCAAAATGCCCGAACCCAATAACCCAAATTTAATGTACCATATACCCTCGCACATGCTCTTTTTTTTTGTAAACACTAGTATCTCACCTGTGCGATACACGGATAGAAAA